TGCCGAGCTTGGTGGCAGGTGCTTATAATCCTAGCTACTCGGGAGGCTGGGATAGGAGAATCTCTGGAATCTGGGAGCTGGAGGTTGCAGTGAGCCAAGATCAAGCCACTGCACTCCAGCCTGGGTGACAGAGTGAGACTCTGTTTCAAAAAAAAAAAAGGTGTTGGCAGAGTTGGTTTCTTCTGAGGCCTCTCTCCTTGGCTTATAGCTGGTCATCTGCTCCATGCGCCCCCACATGGTCTTTCCTCTGTGTGGGTCTGTGTCCTAATCTTCTCTTCCAAGGACACCAGTGAGATTGGATTAGAGCCCACCATTGTGTTATCTCAATGACTTCTTTAAAGGCCCTATCTACAAATACAGTCACATTCTACAGTACTGGGGGTTAGGGCTTCAAAATGTGCACTGAGGGGCACAATTCAGCCCGTAACAGGAAGGAAAACAGCTTTCAGAGAAATGCAGGGAGCTCGTATGCCATGGATGATTCTCGCACCCACTGGGATCTTCCACCTGGATTTACATCCCCTCTCATTCCTCTCTGCTCCCCACAAACTCTAACATTTTATATTAACCCATGATACTATATTTCATTTTTTTTTTCTTTTGAGATGGAGTCTCACTTTCTCGCCCAGGCTGGAGTGCAGTGGTGCGATCTCGGCTCACTGCAACCCCCTGAGTTCAAGCGATTCTCCTGCCCGAGCCTCCCGAGTAGCTAGGATTACAGGTGTCTGCCACTGTGCCTGGCTAATTTTTGTATTTTTAGTAGAGACGGGGTTTCACCATCTTGGCCAGGCTAGTCTTGAACTCCTCACCTTGTGATCCACCCACCTTGGCCTCCCAAAGTGCTAGGACTACAGACCTAAGCCACCACGCATGGCCTATATTTTCTCTTTACAGCAGGAATTACGGAAAATTTAAAGCATCATTTCAAGTGCAGGAGATGAGCCCTGGAAAATATTGTCATCATGCCCAACACTGGCATGCATTCTCTTCTCTCTGGTTGGGTTCCTCTATGCTCATTAATTAGTTCACTGAATAGCAGCCATCAGTCACTGGCGGACTCTTCTCTAAAACTCTATTCAATTTTCTTGAATTATCACCTGAGACAGGGTAAACAGGAGACGCGTGAAATATTCTGGAATTCCAAATTGATAGAGAGGTGTCATGCCAGGCACTGGCACCCATCAAACTGAATGACTCCGAATTTACGAAGACAGGATAGAGGCTGGAGAGGACGAGAAGAGATAAGGACAGGGTAGAGCTGAGGGAGTCCCCAGGTTTGTAAGCCCAGCCCAGTTCATCACAACTGGAAAGACAACAGCAGCCTGGACCTCAGCCTCACTGAACCCCAGATCCCCAGATCAGCTCTGGGGAGAGGATGTTTGCAGACGGTGTCCATTACCCCAGATAGAGAAAAAAGCCAAGAAGGCCCTTCTGACTGATAGTGTTGACCTGCCTTCAGCAAACAGTCTCCAAACATCAACAACATGGCATCAGGAGGTGGTTTTGGTAAACTGTTTGCTTGAAAAAAAAGAGTAATTATTTTATTTTATTTTTCGGCTTTTATTTTGGCTTCAAGGGTACATGTGCAGGTTTGTTACATGGGTATATTGCATGACACTGAGGTTTGGGGTATGAATGATTCTGCAACCCACATAGTGAACATAGTACCCAATAAGTAGTTTTTCAGCACACACCCACCTCTCCCTTTTCTAGTAGGCCCTGCTATCTGTTGTTGCCATCTTTATGTCCATGTGTACTCAATGTCTAGCTCTCACTTATAAGTGAGAACATTCGGTATTTGGTTTTCTGTTACTGCATTAGTTTGCTTAGTATAATGGCCTCCAGCTGCATCCATGTTGCTGCAAAGAACATGATTTTGTTCATTTTTATGGCTAAATAGTATTCCATGGTGTATATATATATATATCACATTTTCATTATCCAGTCCATTATTGATGGGCACTTAGGTTGATTCCATGTCTTTGCTATTGAAGAGTCATTATTTTAAAAAACATTTGCCAAATCCTTGTGGACATTGCCCAAAGTGTATTTTTCCCAGCACTCCTCCTGTCTTGGGCCAAAGCCTCTTCTTGACCAGAAGGCAGATAATGACTAGAGGTAGATCTTGACATTGAGATCCAGAAATGGTCCCATTTGCTCAACAGAATCTGTTCTTTGGGAAAAGGTTACTCCAGGTGAGGGAGTTTTGAGGATGCCTGGGCTTACTACAGGTGCCAACATGCAGTCAGCCCTGTCCCCAGAGCTCTGTCTCCAGTCTCCGCCTATTCCCCCTATGCTTGTTCTGCTCTTCCAAGCCCTTGAACCCTGCCCGGCCTGGATGTGTTCCCCCACTCCCCACTGTCAATGACTTCTTGGCTTAGGAGTGTGTCTAAAATGTTAACACTATATGGATCAAAGAAATGCACACTGCGGCTTCTGGAAGCCAGATATGTATAAGCTCTTCAGAAGCAATTTGGAAATGGCTGAACTGAGACTGGCCTGCCCGCCACTTGCAGGAGCAGGAGGTCTCATTAGGCTGGACTTTCTCTCCCTTCCGGGAGCCTGCTGTTCAGAGACCAGCAGTGGATCACTTGGGGGCAGGGAAAGAGGGGGATGAAATCTACAGCTTTAGGAAAATGGAGCTGAAAACATTTAACATTGAATCATAAACAGAAGCAAGAAATTAGAGAGAGGTCAGGGAACAGGAAATCAAGAGAGGAGAGGTCCGTTCCCAGGAAATAAGATTTGGTTGGGCAATGACATTCAGCAGCCTTTCGTGGGGATACTGATCACTGGGGCAGGGCTGGCTGCTGCACCACTGTCAGAGGAGTCTGACCCAGAGGGGATATTCTGACTGCCACCCTTCACTGAATTCTCTAATTGTGCCCAGAAGCTCAGCCCTAGGCGTAGATATTTTATGTCTGAGAAAGGGACAAAGAGCTCAGTTGGAAGTGGGCATCCTCTTCCAACCTAAAAAGGAATGCATGGTGCAGGTTCTAGTGGAACTTTCAAAGACAGGGTATATTTCTAGCATTTCTCCAGATGCTAACCGATTTATACCTTTGGGCAATTGCATAAATTCCCTGGCAATACAAGTCTATAGCTGTTCTGAGGGCCCTGAGTCAAGTGTTTTGTAGGGGCTAGAAAGGCAGAGATGAATAAAACATGGCTCTAGAGCCACCCAGAGTAATGGTAGAGACAGATATATTGACCACAAAGCATAATATTAAGCAAGGCAGTTGGTGATGAATTGGTCTACATCAGTGTGACATAAAAATAAGTCGGACAGAGCAGGCACCATAGCTCATGCTTGTAGTCCCAGAACTTTGGGAGGCCAAGGCAGGCAGATCGCTGGAACCCAGGAGTTTGAGATCAGCCTGGGCAACATGGTGAAACCCCGTCTCTAGAAAAACACAAATTTGCCAGGCGTGGTATATGTCTGTGGTCCCAGCTACTCAGGAGGCTGAGGTGGGAGAATCACTTTAGTCCAGGAGGCAGAGGTTGCAGTGAGCCGAGATCCCAACACTGCACTGCATCTTGGTGACAGAGTGAGACTCTGCTTCAAAAAAAAGAAAAGGAAGAGGAAGGAAGGAAGGAAGGAAGGAAGGAAGGAAGGAAGGAAGGAAGGAAGGAAAAGGGAAAAGGAAAGGGAAAGAGAAAGGTCAGAAAGACCCAGAATGCAACTCCAGACTTCCTCATCCCACCTGATGGTCCTTGGACAAGTTATATCGTTCCCTGGAAATTCCATTTCCCGGATCTAAGAAGTAGAGCCCTCATTTCTATGAAGATCCACAAGGCAAGGAGTGGGGCAGTGCGGCTCACAGGGAAAGAAAGGCCCAGGGCACTGTTCTGAAGCCGCCTGAGGGTATGCACCTTGGGTGGATTTCTAGAATCCCTATTGAGATTTGCACCATCTAAGTAAAATGAATCTGAAGAGGTCATCTGGAGATAAAACTATCCCTATGTTTGGCCCAAGGTCAGTGCTGAACAAATGGGAAAGTAAGCAAGAGAATGAATGGGGTAAATAGCAGAAGTGATTCAGGACTGACTCATCTCTCAGCAAAATCTCCAGTTGAACCCCTGAGAATAAAGATTTTATTTATTTATTTATTTGTTTGTTTAACAAACATATGGCACTTAATTTGTGCCAGGCATTATTCTCAGTGCTTCACCTAAAAAAACAGTTTAATATTCACTATAATCGAAGGAATTATTAATATTATCTCCATTTTACAGATAAGAAACCTAAACAGAGAGGTTTAGTACCTTGGACAATGTCACACAGCTAAAAAGTAGCCAAGACAGTTTTTGAATACAGGCATTGTGGCTCTGGGAATCCACATTGCTTCTCTATTAAGGAGGCTAAAAGGTCATCTGAAGCCTCAAGGAGCCTGGTACCAGTCACACCCATCTACAGCAGTCAGCTCAGGTGGGAAGCTGCTAAGGTGGCATTCAGAGCCCAGGTGTGGTCCTCAGCCTCTGCCTTGATTCAAGAAGCCCAGTTTAAGGGCCTCCCCATCCACCCCCCAGGATATTATCAGGTACCCCCAAGCCCAGAGGCCTCAATTCTTCTACCCAGATCTGTGAAGTGTCCTTGGGTCTGTGGTGGCACTGGCCACCCCGGGTCCTCCTAGAAAGGGTCCCTGTCATGCTCCTCCAGTGGCCAAGGTCTGTCCTTGTGCCAAATGCAGCTGATCCGTAGTAGCTGCCTGCAATATTGAATGGAAAAGAACTTGGGGTCACATCTGGGCTCACCAGGAAAGACACGGTGGTCCATCAGTGATGTCCCCAAGGGCGTAGGAAACAGGTTATCGGCCACTGGCCTAGCATCTCACTCAAGCCTATGGCTGATGCTCACAGCCCTCTGCCCAAGCTGGGCTGGGTGTTTTCTTTCTGTAACCTTCAGGCTGCTCTGCTACTACCTCAGTTAGGACTCTTCTGATTGCAAGTGTCAGAAATCCAGCTCTACCTGAACACGCAAAAAAGGAGAAATAACTTACTTAACTGAATTTTGCAGGGGCAGATTTCTCAACCTTTCCATCTCTCATGTATGCTTTCTTCTGGAACAACTTCATTCTCATGCAGATTCCCCTCTCAGGATAGCAAATATGGCAAAAAATGGCTACCAGGACTGACAAGCTGGTCTTTCAGCTATAGTTTCAAGGGAAGCTCCGGAGTTGAGTCTCATTGGCTTAAGTTGGATCACATGACCTCCCCTAAGCCAATCATCGTGGCCAGGGGATGTTCCAGTGGGCCAGGCCTGCGTCCCAGGTTGGCTCCTGTAATGAAATGGGGAGATGGGAATGGAGATTAATCCCACTTGCCATCTAGCAACCTATGGTGCAAAAGGGCTGGCTCTCCAAAGGAAACTTGGGATGCTTTTCTCAGCATTTTAAACACCTTAAAACCGCGTTTTAAGAAGGTTTTTCTGGGAAAATGTTTACGGGATGGATTAGAGCATTGACTATGTACTATACCAACGAGCTGGTCTTGGCTCCTGTTCCCTGGTTTGTGTTTATAGACTTCAGTCCTGGGAAGATGGATTCTTTCCTGACTGTCTTGATCATTCACATGAGAAGAGTTCTGTTCCTTGGGATTTTATTTTTTAATTATGGGAAATTTTCAGATATAATCAAAAGTGTTGAAAATAATCCGTGTCTGTTCCTCAGCTTCAACAATGATTAACTCAGGGCCAATTTTGTTTCATCTATAGCCCCGCCCATCCCCACCCCACCCTGGATTACTTTGAAGCTCATCCAGACATCGTATGTCTTTAAGATGCTCAGATTGCAAGGTCCTACAAGAGCTAGAGATTCCATTTTCCCTGAGAAGAAAGGAATCTGGCCTGTTATTATACGTCACTTAGCAGAGGAGAGTCTTGTCTTTCCTCCTCCACAAACATGGCCCAACTCTCCTTACTTGATATTATACTTTGAATCTTTATGAGTGGAAAATTGCACTCTGTTTATTCTTGTCTGGAAGTGCTCAGCTGGAGTGATTGCAATGTTATCTCCCTGGGCATCCCCATTGTCCTCATCCTGCTGTTGTCCCCGACCCCATTTCAACCCACTTTGCCTGTAGCCTTGTTTTACGACCTGCTCCCTGCCTCCTGTTACCTGATTTCTAGGGTCCCTTTCCCCATTTTCCTAGCGTTCTAACATATACATGGTCCAGAGAACAACAATAGCTTGAAAAAACTCTATTTCCCATTTTATAATCCCAACACAGAGCGATCTGTCTCCCCTGCACCTTAACAGCCTACAAATGGCTGCAGATACACGCAACAAAGAGCCATTCGGCTGCTCACGTGAACAGACTTCCCTTGCGCTTCCAAACATTATGTTATCTCTGCCACAGCAATACTCCTTGAATAGCTAATAAATGCAAAAGAAAGTTTGGGAGGAAAAAAAAGTTACAGAAAAATTATTATTATTACTTAAAGAGCCACAGAAAGATAGCAAGGTTCTTCTAAAATTACAACACCATCGTTAGCAGCTGCAGGGTACATGAAAGCCAGGGGCCGGGGGAGGGAAGATAGGGCATATTTCAAAGCTGACTGCTGCAGTAACAAAACGCGAAGGGGGTGTTGTGTGGAATACGCCAAGTGTTTGAAGTGGACAAGGTTTCTAGCATGTTGCCTTGATGCCTGTACATACTTAATAACAGATGTTTGGTCTCTCTAGGCAGATAATTGTCCTTCTGTAAGGTTGACTTGACCTGCCTGAACGGTCCAGCTTTGAGCGCTGCAGCAGTAACAAATGATCCTAGCTTCTCTCTTTTTTACTAGGGGAGATGCTCAGCCACGCTTCCTTTTAAGCACATAATTACTCGGCAGCAACTGAAGGCCATACATTCCCCTCTCCTAATGGCCATGGAGCCATTCGGTCATAATTTATGGGGACAGGGTTCAAAGTTTTAATAATATTTGGATAATATCATTGCCCACACGTCGGGGGCGTCGTGATGAATAGAAGGAGAGTGGGCTTATTTCGATTCCATGCATGACAGTGAGGACGTTAACGACTGGGTGCCCGGCGTGGCCTTTATGGAAACTGCCACCAGGCCATCAGCTCATGAATTATAGATCTGGGCATGAAGGATCACATAGGGACGTTGTTCATGAGGAACTGTCCTGTTAGCGCCTCTTCCTTATGCAGATAAATGAATTGCAGGGAATACCAAAACGGCGTAAATAAGCCCTTAGTGGATAACATATTAGAACATCAACATAAAAAACCCAGTGCTGGGGCCTGCTTGGGGATATTTATGTTTATACTCTCTGCTCAAGTGGCTCCCTGATTTTTTGGCTTCTTACTGCTCACCTCATAATTCCAACCTCCTAACGGCACCTCTGGGCATGTTTCTCGGATGCTCTGTGGTGCCTGTTGACATTTGTACACAAGTTTGCTCAGAGAAGTGCTTTTGGTTGGGCAGATGGGTAAAGACTCATCAAATTCAAAACAGACCTAGTTAGCATTATCTTAGTGACATGGTGGGGTGTCCCTAAAACGGAGGCCAGACACTGGCAGGTGCTAGTGGAAAAAGAAGGGGCAACTATGTCCCCAAAAGTAGAAAGAAGGGAGACGTTCTCAGCCAGAAACCAGATAGAAAAGAGCCTTGGAGAATATCGAGTTCAACCACACTACTCCCAAAAAGCAGGTGGCAAAATTGAGGTTCAGAGGAGAACAGGGACTCCCCCTAAATTATAAAACTTTGTTGCCAAGCCAAGATTCCTCACTCCCAAGTGTGGCCCCAGGCTGCCTTATCTGGCCTGAGTTTTCTCTCCCCAAAACGTAAACATTCAACACCAGCCCCAAATGATAGTGTTAAGACTAAAACAATGTTTGCCAACTTCCTCCTGTTAATCTAGACTGACTCACTCTGAACTTTGACAAGGTTCGCGTGCCGTGAGCAATCGTTGAACTTACACACTCGATATCCATTTAATCTGAAGGATTTATTTGGAAAGAACAGCAATTATAGCGGCACCTCAGAATAACTAGGAAACGGCGCATTTAAATCTCTTTAAATAGCTTGCAGGAGTTCTAAATAGCTCCCCCACGCCCAGGTTCTGATCTGGAGTTCTCATTTGCCTGGGCCTGTTTACAGAGCCCAGGAGTGGTTTGGAGCAGGTTTCAAACGTGGAGGTTTGTTTCTCTACTGGGGGGCGCTTTATGTAGGGGGTTTTCTGTTTTCTGACACATCTAGGGATGTGTTCTTTTTTTATCTTGCTAGGAGAAAGAAGGTAACCATGTTCTGCTGAATAAAGGCCAAGAACATTTACCCAGTTATAATTTTTTTAATACTCATACAAAAAATTAACTTTTGGGGATCACAGCTTTATGAAATTTAACACATATATAGAACCATGTAACCACCATCACAATCAGGATACAGAACAATTCCATCACCTCCAAATCTCCCATTAAAAAGTAAAACCCCAGCCAGGGATGGTAGCTCATGCCTGTCATCCCAACATTTTGGGAGGCTGAAGTGGGAGGATTGCTTGAGCCCAGGAGTTCGAGACCAGTATGGGCAATAAAGCAAGACCCCCATGTCTACAAAAATAAAATATTTAGCCAGGCATGGTGGTGCACACCTGTAATTCCAACTACTCAAGAGGCTGAGGTGGGAGGATGGCTTGAGCTCAGGACTTTGAGGCTGCAGTGGATGATGATCACACCGCTGCACTCCAGCCTGGGCGACAGAGAGACCCTGTCCACTCCCAAAAAAAGTCAAACCTTCCCTTGATCCCTAACCCCTAATCCCCACTGATCTGTTCTCCATCACAATAACTCTGTTTTTTGGGAGTGTTGTATAAATGGGTTTATACAGTATGTCACCTTTTGAGACTGGCTTCTTTCACTCAGCATGGTGCCTTCGAGATCCATTCAAGCCCTTGTCTGTATCTACAGTTCAGTCCTCTTTGTTGCTGAGTCATATTCCATCACAGAGCTCAGACCTCGAGTCAGGCATCACCAGGCACTTACGGGATGAGGACAGTGGCTAATGGCTGTGATATGTGTGCTGTGTGTACCACACTCTGTCCTGGTGTTTTACTGTACTAACTCATGTAACCTCTCAACAACCTAGTGGGGTGACTACTAGCATTTTATCCATTTTGCATTAGGAAATTAAACCATAAAGAGGCTACATAACTTGCCCAAGGTCACACAACTGGTAAGTCAGGAACCACCTATAAGGTTAGAACCTGCCAACCCTTGTGCTTCTTCATGGGACATCCTAATTATAAATATCTCTGGAAGGGAGAGGAGAAATGCCAATCCCTAGGGAGGTGTAAATGGCTGACAACACCGCCTTGCCGAGAGCAGGCTGTGCCAGGGTTTGAGAAGGACAGCTGACATGATCAGGAGGAAAAGAAGGAAAGGGGCCCCGGGATCCCACTACCACATGCCACAGAGTGCGCACCCAGATACTCACACACACCCCAAAGGGAAAGGGAGGGAAGCAGGGGAAGGCAGCACTTCACATAAATGTAGTGGCTAACAAATAGGAAACATCCTGGCCTCTGCCCATCCTACTAAGTCTCAGGGGTTGAGAAAAGAACCAGATCTGAGAATTTCAAATTAATTGCCATGAATCCTGGAACTGTCAATCTCAGGCTTTCAACAGCACGGTCATCAGCTGTCTTACCTAGTCTCCTTTGAAGCCTGAGATGTGGCTGCTGTCCTTGGAATCATAACAACCTAAAACATAAATGTGGAATTCCAGGAGTGATTTCACCCAGCATTGAGCCTGTGGGGAAACTGAGGCCTAGCAAGAGAATGGACTTGGCCAAAGGCACATAGCAAATCAGTAGCAGATCCAGAACTGTAACCCAGATCCCTTCCTCCATATATCCACCCATTCATTCATTCAACAACTGAATGTACCATGTGCCAAGCACTTTTCTGGAAGCTGGAGACAAAGGGTGATGAAGACACAGTACTTGCCTTCATGGAGTTATAGTTTTGGCAGGAGAAAGATATTAAACAAATGATCACAAGCAAATAGATAATTTAAAGTCATAGGGAAGATTTTAAAATTTTCTCAAGACCCCTAGCAAGTATGTTTCCAGCTCACCTCAGCTGCTTCTATTTCCTAAATCAACAAGATGAAGTTTCCTGTAGCAGTAAAAGCCTCCATGTGCCCTCTCAATAAGATCATGCAAAAAGGTGGTTATGTCGTTCTATAATATTTTAATTACAGGTGTTGAATGTTGGCTCCCCAAATACCACTAACAGTCTGTTGGTAAAGCAAAGCTGAATTGAT